TCTAGTGGAGTATGGGAGTCCTTCCCACTTTTCAGTTCCTAGCCAATGGGGTGATGAACTATGAGGCAACCTTCTGAATGTGCTTAATTCCTTTCAGTAGAGAGTAGGGCAGTAGTGTTCTGCTGTTGTAGATGGTGTAGATCCTGTACATGAATAGTAGTCATATAATGCATGAGATAGAATAGATCTGTCACATTGCAGTTCATCGCTGTTGTTGGGATTCCTTGTTTTACCGTTGACTGGATGTTGGTTCTCAGTGAGTGGTTTTGGAATCAAACACAACCAATCAACATAAGTTCTTACACATGTGTTGGTAGTGTTCCTAATCCTACCATGGTCATGGGATTTTACCTTATGCACTCCACCTCCCTGAGGTGGTTCCCAGAGGTTGATGTTATGTTGATCTGGCTGGATTGGCCCCCAGCTCTGTGGTTGCTTGGGGAGTTGACTGGTCATCCATGTGCTCTAGGATCTGTGCAGTCCTATCTGGAGTATGATGTTGTCTGGGGTGCATATAGTTCCTCTGACACTCCACCTCAGCGAGGTTCACTCCCAGAGTAGAACCACTCAAATTAGTTTTGGATTTAAAGTGAACCTCCACAACTGTAAATCCCTTCGTACTGTCATTATGATGTCGGGTTCCTTGATGGCTGGTGTTGGTTGTGGATTTGTACACATGTGCCCTGTTTAGTCGACAGGTACGGAATTTTCTCCTTCTGTCCTATTCAATCTGAGGTGAAGACAATGTGGGCCCTCCTCCTACCATGGGTAAGAAGATGTATATCTCATGTTACCCAGTTTTGGACTGGAGTTTACCTACCAAGTATAGTCTGTTGCATCCTAATCATTCTATATCAAGAAGCACATCCATTTTAGTGTTCCCCACCATCTGTTCTGTGACTGGGGACCCCACGCTCCTTTTTCTCCTGCATTATGATTTTAGTAGGATGTAGGGTCAGACTACTCTAGATTTTTACTCTCATTTATTTGATGTTTGCTTCCCAATTTATGCCTATTTATGCAACATTTACTACCACACTGGGTGAAGAGTATGCCTGGTACAGAAGTGGTGTGGTCTTCCATATGTGTTCCTCTTCCAATGGGGATTCACACTCCATAAATGTTCTTCAGATGCTTTCGAAGAATGCTTATCTATATTTCATGCACTGGTCCCCCCATCTTTTCAATGTGGGATTCTAGCTATTATATGAGAGGAGGTAAGGTACTGTATCGGAAGTTATCACTTTCTTACACTGAAAATATATTTCCAATAAGTACTTACCTCATCTCAAACTTCCCCCCTTTCCTACCCGTTACTGGTGCTTAATTTCTGCTTAATCACAAAGTGAGATTAAGTGTAAAATTGTTGTGCCTGAAGTCTGAAGACAGGATTTTCTCTGGCTTTTCATATTTTTTCATCGCTATAAATTTTGCCAGACATAAATTTTTAAGTCAATTTTATGTGTTTATTCTAAATATATTTCAATAACTAGTGATCAAAAATATGTTAGAATCAACATTTTGCTATTTTCTGACATTTAATTAATGTTATTCATGAAGAAAAAGTTCAATTTTCATTTTTCATTTCTACACAAAAATAAAACTCACTTGTCCATTCATTTCAGAATAACTATTTTTTTGCTACAAATCTATCATTCCTTGAGAATATATTATGCATTTCTTGATTTTCAACCTTGTTTCTGATATTCTTGTTTTGTATACAGGTCTTGGTTGAATTTAATTTTGTTATAGTGCAACATGAAGTGGTGTGATCATTTACTAAATAATGAAACTCAGCTTTAGAAACAACTATAATGAAAGTTTAAACATGATTGGATAGAGAAAGAATTAAGACTACCATGTAATAGTAATGAAGGTTTAAAGGTTTTTGTAAATGTTCCTGTCATCAGTGAATTGTCAGTGTAACTGTGTGTTAAATTATATCTGTTTGAAAGCTACAGAAATTTTCATAAATGAGAAGTCATCAGAAAACTTGATATAAGGTAAGCTTATACAGTTTAGAAAATTGTTGAATGGGTAACAAAGATAACTTCAATACAAGTTTAATACAGTAATAAATCTAAAATTGTTTTAGAAGATTTTCTAATTATCAGGCACGAGTAGTTTACCTAGACATAGGAATATATATAGAAAATACACAGTCTCATGTCTGATTATTGCATAAGGCTTAATAAAGGTATCTTGTTGATGCTTGGTTATTTATTTAAGTATAGTGGTTTTACTTTTCAATAGATATATTGTGGTTTTATTGAAGTACAATGTTTGTAAACATAAGTTTTTTTTATTGTGTAAACCACATGAAATTGTCATAAAATCAGATAAGTTTAGTTAATGGTTAATGGGGAAAGAACTGAACTGAATAATTAATTCAAGATACAGTAACAGTAACTTTTACAGTAGACAAGTTCTTGTTTAAATAATTACAATATTTCAACTCGTAGTATTGAGATATTGATTTTCATAAGCATTTTAATGTTTCTCTAAAAAGAGAGAATAACCTTTCACCTACTTTTGTATACAGAAAGCAGTTCTCAGTTGCCATGCCTCCACATGCAAGATCTTGTCACCCATTATCACAAAAAATGTCCTTGTTTTCATCTTTTGTACATAGGGCTGGTAATGTTTGTGCATATAATGAAGATATAATATTATAATTAAATTATTTAAAATCTGTAGCGATTGATAGAGGGTGGAAATCTAATATCATATATAGTATCTATATAAATATAATAGTACTGTCTGTTGTCTGTCCATGTAACTTCTTTGCAGGTTGTGGATGGATCTTCAACAAATTTGATATGTAGGTTCATTGGGTCCATGGGGAAATACATAAAAATTTTTAGTTTTGCATTTTGTGGTTTTTATGGACGTTTTTGTATTTTTTACTACTATTTTGCCCCCTCTTGATGGATCTTCACCAAATTTAGTATGAAGGTTTGCTGGGTTCATGGGGAGATACAAATTTTCAGTTTTGTGTTTTTTATGGTTGTTTTGGGATTTTTATCACTACTTTGCCCCCTGTTGGTGTATCTTCACCAAATTTGGCATGAAGGTTTGTTGGGTCAATGGGTTGATACTTGCCAATTTTCAGTTTTGCACATTGTGTTTCGTAGTTTTTATGGGCGTTTTTGCATTTTTTACAACTACATATTTTCATATTTTAAGATAACCATTTGTTAATCATGAATTTACATAACTTCTGTCCAGAGGATGGCTACTCCAGCTGATATTGTAATAAATTACAAATATTTGAGTGTATGAAGCTACAAACAACCAAAAAGGTAAATAGAGTAAATACATCTTTGCCATATGTTATGTCATGGTCAACACAAATAGATAATGTTTCATGAAATATTTGGATTGTCAAGTAACCATTACACCACTATTAAAGTTAATTAATATTATCAAAAGGATTGAAAGATAAAATTGAACTAAAGGATAAATGTGGAATTTATAAAATTTCACACATTAGTGATTTAAATGATTTTGAGGAGATGTGTAGAAATTTGAAATTTAGAATAAGATAATATGAAAAATTCAGTTGATAAAGTAGAAACGAGTGATTCAGCCTTGTCTGCTAAAACACGTGGCGAACTCTATACATCATTGAATGGGACAATGTGAAATTATTTAAATAGGTGAATTGTAAAAAACGAATTAGATATAGAGAGTCATTAGAAATTGTTTAAAACAAAATTATGAGTTTGGATAGATATTGTTGTGTATCAGCTTGTTTGTTAATTTCAGGTATAAATTCTTTCCGAGTAACTTCAGCAATACAAGTCCTTTCTTAATTAAAACTAGTTTATTCTTTCTCAATACAACTCCCTGATAATTCTAGAAACTCCATCTGTAATCAATAAATGACCCCATTGATTAATTTATTAGCAGAAAATATAAATAACCCACCTCTGAAGTTATATAATTGTTGTTTTTATTGTTTGTTATGGTTATTTCTGTGTTTTTGTTATTTAACTGCATGAGTTGTTACTTAGTTTTCTTGCAGAAGCTTCCTCTGAATCTCTTATTAAGTTGCCTTATAGTTTATCTGCTGACTCCAAATTTATCTGTAAATATCATAGTTTTGATCTAATCAGGTCTCATCAGCTCAGTTAGGTGTATGATATGCAAATATTATAAACTAAATTACCCTATAACAAAGTAAATAGGTATAAGTTATTCATTTATTTATACAGTTTTAGTACAAGTTTTTTTACCTTATTACAAGTTCTGTATGGACAGAATATAACCAACCCTATACTGCACTAATTCTCCTCTTGAGAACTTTTTCATGTTTCTAACTTGACAGTACCTGGCTTTATTTTGGGATAAATTCGTTAATATGGTTTTAATAAGTTTCTGGCATATTATGATGATAGAAAAGTTATAAACTATGGTTTCTTTATTTTTATGGAATTTGACTAATTATGTGTTAGACATGGCAAAGCGAGGAGTTTGTAATATTGATATAAATTTATGCTGTATTTAACACTTGTAGCCATGCAGAATAGGAAAAAGCTCTCATAATCTCTTGTAATTCATTCTGAGTCATAAAATTCATGTTCAATAAAGCAAACTGATTTGTAGAAAATTTTGTGTTTAGTCTCTTCTTTCTTGACCAAGTCTTATTTTATATATCTGCTGAACAAGTAGTTTCAAACTTCCTTTTATTGGGGTTTTGTTAAATTACTTGTTGTCAACTTTGATCTGAAAATACCACAGACTGAGAATTTTATATAAATTAGCTTTATGCATATTATTGAGCTACTATAGGGAAATACTAAAAGTTTCTTTTAAGTATCCGTTCGCATTAAAATTTCATCTGTTTTTCAGGACACAGTACTGTATGTAAGTAAATTGGAAACTCGTATAAGTAATTTAAACAATATAAAAATCAGTCAGTGCTTCACTGTAGCATATAAGTATTTGATCTAATATCAGTGGAAGTGAATAGGCCTTCTTTTTTATGCATTTTATAGAGAAACCTACCAGAAAGCTGAAGAAATTGCACATACTTTTTTTAGTCAACGAAATGGAGATAGGCAGCATGTTATTATGGCTGTTGGAAACTGTCATATTGACTGTGCATGGTTGTGGCCATTTTCAGAAACTATTCGTAAATGTGGACGTAGTTGGTCTTCAACTGTTCGCTTAATGGAAGAGTACCCCAACTTTTACTTCGCATGCTCTCAGGTGTATTTTCTTAGAATTATCATTTTATCTGTTGATATAATCATACCCACTTGTATGTGCCAGATATTATTTATACATTGTAGATTCGTAAAATCTTGTGTAGTTTTCTTTGTTGCTAATGAAATACTATTTGTTTTAACCATGTAACAGAAATCTAACTTTATTTTTTATACATATATATGTGAGAAGTATTTTGTTAAGATTACAAGTACCATGAAATACCACAGACTAGTAATAGCTTTACTTACCTTACTCTCAACATATCCAATACAGATGTAAAGAAAAAAAGAGTTTATATTAGTAAAATACATTTTGTAAATACCAGACTAAAATATATGATTTTATTAATCCACAAGTTTTCCATCTCTTTGAAAGTTAATAAAATCTGTATTTTAACATTGGTATTTAAGCCTGTAAATTTCTTTTTACATTAATACTTCAGATTGAAATGACCTTATAACAATACCAGATGATAATCTGGTTATAACATAGTGTTAACTGGGACACTTAAGATTATGAAAGCTTATTGCTATGCTTTGATCGATACATACAACTATTATCAGTCATGAACATAACTTTCAGGAAGCCATTTTCACATTTAAAAAATAATTATTTGATTGTAATATTAGTAAAGTGTTAAATGTATCAAAACTTATATCAATGTATTTAGATTAACACCTCTAAATATTAATAATGTAAATTAAATAACTTACAGCAGCTATTATTGTATGATACATGCCAGGCCATTAGCATTCTAATGGAAATTATCATTAAATTAATTTATGTTGTTCATACTTATATTTCTTTGTACATTATGTTAATTTAGAAAACTGTTACTATCAAGTTTTTTAAATTAACTAGATAAACAACACTTCCAATAATTATTTATTTATTTTACAAAATAGTTCTAATATAAAAGTAATAATTTGACTTCACTTTTTCAGACTATACCATTTCACATATAGAGCAATTTGTACATAATCTTTGAGTTTAAATTTTTGTTCTGAATCACACTTAACTCCTCTCACACTACCACATTATCCCAAAGAAAGTTTCTCTTTTCTGGCCATCTAAGCATTGGAATGAATCTTATCTTGCTTTCTCCAGCTTTTACACCCCACTATATTGCCCAGAGCAAGTTAAATCTTGTGATTCTCTCCACCTACATCAATGTGCCTACTATCCAAAATCTATATATAAGCACCCATTATTACTTTCTATTCACTGTTCTCGAAGGCACAGTGTTATGACAACGGTTTTATGTGCTTGCTATGGGTTTCTCTTCAGTGTTGTATAGCTGTTAACTATGCTTTGAATGATTTTTTTAGACCTGTCTTCTTAGGTTTTGAGTTTATTGTCTATTTTCTTTATTTTACAAAAAATATTTTTGAGATGTATTTGGATATGAATTCACAAGTTCATGTGTCTGATGCGGAGTCACTTAGTGCTCCTACTTTGCCACCTCTGTAGTCTAGCATTACTTGGGTATTGTGGAGTGGGCCCCTATCTGTAGATGTCCAGTCCCTCAGACGTAGAGGTGAAGTCTTACATGAGGTCTGATGTTTTTTCTTTTGTAAACTTGGAGGCTGAACTTGTGAAGAATCAAGTGAAAATTTGGATTATATTTTTCTGGCACCTTCTTTTGCTCAGGCAGCTACTCACGAGCCTCGGATGGACATCCCACCTTCTGCACCATTTTTGCAACTAGTACATCAAATTTGTAATGTTTTGAGCATTTCTCCTCTTCTTCTTTATTGAGGGAAAGTAATTTGGCTAATTACCAGGTCTTTCCCCCTTTGCCAGACATTGCTGTGCATGCTTGTAGATTTGCTGATCAATTGAGAGTGGGTGGCTGTCATGCTTTGACCTCCCATTTATTGGCATGCCTTAGCTTTCCATCATTTGGAGAACCCTTGTTTGGATTCTTAGAGGTTATATCCTCTTCCTATTTGGGGCTCTAGGTCTGATGCCACTATTCGTCTTAACCTAACTCATTTTTCCCAAATTTGTCTGTCCCTTATAACAGTTTTGCATATTTTATCTTATTTACAACTGTTGTCTTAGGCATATCACAGGTTTCCTGCTCAATTTTCAGAGTATCTTAGTCATTGGTAAGGTTATCACCTCCTGCTTTCTCCTTGGTCTCTTGATTGATTTGTTGCAGGGATCTTTTGGAGAGAGATGTCTTGCTTGAGGGAGTTTGACTTTCTTCTTTGGCCCTTAAAGATCTCAGAGAAACTTCTTTTCTCAGACATTTGATCTTTGTAAGTTTTTCAGATTCCATAGAATCTAGGGTGGATGTGACTGGTCTTCACTCTTCTCTTTCAACACTGTTTTCTCACCATTTCCGGTCTTCTATCAGATAGTTTCCTGCATCTCCTGTTTGGATTTCCAGACTTTCTGCATCAGCTCCATGTATTATCAGAACACAAGGGAGATTCTGCTCTTATCAACAGGTGTCCTCCATGTGGAGCACAGACAGTGCCATTGGGGACTACTATATTGGGTCTAGTCCTGTGGGGGTTTGATTCAGATTGTTTTTGTCAACATGGGAGACCTTCGCCACAGATCACTGGGCCATTCAAGCTTTACGAGGAGGATTAGTCCTTCATTTTCAAGTCTCCACCTCCATTGTCTCTCATACCGATTGTCTTTCCCATCCCTAAGGATCGTCTTTTATACAGTTGTCAAGTGCAAGTCATCCAGGATCTTCTGCACGAAGATGCTGTATAACACATTGACTCCTCTCTCAAGGGTTTTTAGTGACATTTGTTTGTAGTACCAAAGAAGATGGGCAATTGGTAACCTGTCATTGACCTTTCTCATCTCAGTTATTTCCTCCAGCCTCCTCAGTTTACGATGGAGTAATTTCTTTCCCTTTGGTTGCACTTGGCACTTGGTCTATGAATGGCAAAGTTTGATGTCACCAATTCCTATCTTCATATTCCATTTGTAGAGTCTTCATGTTGTTATCTCTGTTTTCATTTCTTTTGTATTTATTTCTATTCTTTTTCAGGGACCCTCTTGTCATTTTCATTTGGATCCCACCCAGTGGTGGGTGTTTTCTGGTCAGGTATGCTTCTTTCCAAATCTGCACTAGCATCCAGTTGACTGATAAACATTTTCCTGGTAGCAATGAGCTCTGTTAAGACGGGGTAATTCCATAAGACCACCTTGTGCACTTTCCAGGTGGTAAACAAGTGTATACTGGATTGCCACTCATGGACTATCATAAGTAAAGCTTAAGGGGATTTGTCCATCCTTCCTGACCAGTGGATTAAATAAATCGGAGCTGGTTTGCTTTTCAAAATAGTAGCAGGAGGTGTTGCCTTGCCTCTCAGGTTGGTGAGTTAAGATTTCTGTTCATAATATCAGGCTGGGTTGTCTCTATTTCTTCAAGTTTGGTGAGACAGGAAAATTTAGCTCATTCTGAGTTTGATTTGTTGCATTTTGTTCAGTTTAGGGATAGGTTTTGTCCAATTTTGTGTTGCTTGCCTTTTCTTTGTAATTCTGGTGGCTTGACCTGCAACATTCTGTGACGTTCAGGTTAGGTTCCAATAATATCACATTACAAAACAAGAACAGATCAAAGGTGGTTCTCATGCCCTAGCCACTACGCCTTGGATCTAGCTTTTTTGTCCACAACCCTATAATTCCAATAACAAGATGTAGGACCTTGTCTGCCTGGTTGTGGCCTGGATGAATCCTGTGAGTTAGGTACAATATTTCATCATATTTTTTTCTAATGATGTTAGGGTTTTGCTTCTGTGGCCATTCAACCTTTACCGCTCAGCAGGTTTCATGCTGTCTGGGGGAAGAGCATACCTGTTCCAGAAGTAGCGCAGACCCTACTAGTGTACTATTACTATATCTCAATTTTGCACTCCTCTTTTCTAGATGCTTTCTTTGTGGAACTTGCCCTCACCAGCCCCTCCACCTTTTCAATGTGGGATTCTAGCTATAGTATGAAAGGGGGTATGTTTCAGAAGTTAACATTTTTTTTTATACCGAAAATGTATTTTGGATAATGCCTCACCTCACACTCTCCCTCCCCATGAAATGACTGGTGTTTGGGTCTGCAAATTTGGACCATCTCAAAGAGTGAATAGGAAATAATAATAGGTGCTTATATATAGGTCTGGAATAAGGGGTGCATTGACGTAGGTGGAGAGATTCACAAGATTTAACCTGCTTTGGGCAATATAGTGGGGTATAAAATCTGGAACAAGCAAGGGGAGATTCATACCAATGCTTAGATGGGCAGAGAAGAGAAACGCTCATTGGAATGAAGCTATAGTGTGAGAGGAAGTAAGTATTATTGGAAATACATTTTCGGTATAGGAATATGTTAAGTTTTATCTTTCTGAAATTTTAAATTTATAAATGTTGTTAGGACAATACCCATGATTTACTATTATTTAATGTTTTAATATGTTACACATAAGCCACTTTGGTCAAAATTAGATTTTTACTGGCATTTTTTCAAAACTTTGCATAATCAAAATGGTATATTATGAATAAAGTTTCTCCATTATTAAAACTTATTCAAACAAGCAGACTTACCTTTGAAATATGAAAATGTTTTTTTTGTTAAGTTTGTGTCATACTTTCAACAACCACGTGACTAGAGTTCTGAATGTTCTCAGCATCATGCAATGCTTGTTCCAGTTAATTTACCCAGATTTCTCTGCTCTCCCTCCTTCCACATGACTTATAGCATCTGTGTTAGGAAGATGTATAAACTCTTCTTTTCAGCCATGATACAGATTTTCTTGTTGAAAGTTGTGCTTTAAATTTCACTCACTATGAATTCACAAGTCAACATTTACTACTGTTGAAATGACATGCAAATATTATTTTAACCATGCAAGAGCAGTGTCAGTCCAATTGGCTGAGCTCATATCTGTGAAGCTATACATATTATAGATCTGAATTTACTAAGCATCTTCACAAAAGTTGGCTAGTTTTTTTTGAAAACTACTCTATGCAAAAACTAGATATTTTATTAAACTGTTTTTACTAAAGATTTGTTTGTGAATTTTCAAAGCCTTTACTAAGTCAGTGTGACTGAAAGTGGATTTTCATACTAAAAATAAGAATACTTCTTTCCATACTAAGAATAAGAATACTACTTTCCATCTTACAGTTTTTATATCTCCTTTGAGTGGCTATCAAAAGTGTTTTTCAGTAAAAATTTACATTTTATATCTTATTTTCTCTACCCTAACACTAACTGTAAAGAAATTGTCTGTTTACAATGAAATGAAAAGTTGAAAAATATAAAATAAAATAAATAATACTATTCTTTCCTGTTTGCTGACTGCAGTATTGATCAGAAAGTTTCAAATTACTTATTTTAACAATTTCAACTGTTAACCTTTTCACATCTGCTTTCTTTTAATTTTATGGTTTTATTGCTGTACTTTGTATCCTCTTGAGTATTAATCTCAGCAAGAGCCATTAACTATTTTTGGTAGACCTAATATAAATAGCATATGTAAGGTTTCACATCATTGAGCTTACGAAATTTTAGACATTTTATTATATTGAAAATTTATTATTCTCAGCTGAGAAGTTTCTATTTTTAATCTTTTGGTTATTATGTTTTTAAATATAACAATACATAAAGAGCAAGAATTTTTAGTACTCAGTGTGTACTTAAACTCATTTACACTTCAATATAAATTGGAACCATTCTTCCCTATGCATTGTTGAGTCTTAAAAATCTAGATCTCCAAAAAATAATTCATGTAGCTTTTAGATATGTATTCTAGAACATAAAAAATATATCAGTCACTAGAATAAAATGTCTCCAAACTACTATAATTTAGCAGGTTTTTTAAGTTAGGAAACCATTGGATTGAGCATATATCTGTGCAGCGATACATACTATAGCTCTGAATTTACTTAGTATATCTTCACGAAATTTGGCAAGTTATTTTTTAAATATTTAAAATATATTATACACAAAAACTAGATTTTTTAATAAAGTATTTTTACAATGATTTGTAAAATAGGTTAAAAAATTATTTATTCATTAGAAGTGTGATGATAACACTCAAAGAAACTATGGTTGGTAGGACACTGAACATCCAAATTCATGGTAATAAGCTTCATATAGTGGGGAATCTGCTCTTTTTATTGGTTATAAACACATTCATCAATCATGCAAAATTGATTAGCAAAGCAGTCTGGAGAGTCGGAGAGAGAGAAGGGAGGGCTTCTCTAGTGGGGGTGACAAATGTTTGATATCTCAGTAAATCAAGAAGGTAGGAGGTGCAAATTTTAGATAATTATAATTATGCTTAGTTTTGTTTCTAATTGGTTGGAAACTGCAGCAACCTATTTTTGAAGTTCTGAAGTGGAGAAATTTGAGCTCAGATGTGTCATCTGACACAAAAAATGAAAATTCAGAATTTTCTAAATGTTTCTGTTTTGAAACTAAGAAGTTAAAATTTACATGAGATAAAAATTTGCATTATAGGCTCTGTTTTCCTCTAAGTTGATTGAGATACAGTGTTATTAAATTGCTTAATTAAGTTTTGAATGTAACTGTAAGAGGTCATAACATGCATACGTGCAACACAGCTAATGTAAAGAGCTAACTTGTTTTTGATTTATTGATCTGTATTAGTGCAAGTGAGACATTTGTTTCAAAAATAAAATGTTTATGAAATTTTTGTACAATTAATTTTTCTTTAATTAAATATAGATAGTAAATTACATGTCAACAAAAGACTAAAAATTTCTTTTCTTTAGGCCCAGCAGTTCTCTTGGGTCAAGGAATATTATCCAGCTTTGTATGAACAGATAAGAACATACGTTTCTAAAGGCCAGTTTATTCCAGTTGGAGGGTCATGGGTTGAGATGGATGGTAACATTCCTAGGTAGTACTTTCAGAGCAAATGTAACGTTCAGAGATATACATATGCAACTTATATTCTATATTTTTTTATTAAAAAAAAAAGGATGAAATTATTGTGCTAATGACAATTCTAAATGAACTTGCTAAGGTATGTCATGGAACAGTCCGAGAAAAAGTTTGAAAAAATCATTAATTTTTAGTATTTAAGTAAATATTATTTTTTGCAGTAAATATTGGGAAATCTTTCTCTTTACTTAGAAAACAAAACCCTCAATTAAACAAGACAAAGTTTTTAGTTTCGGACATCCAATAGTAAACTTTTTCTTGATTTGTAAGCTATAAAACAGTATTCAGTGCTGGTTATTAAAAAAAAGTTCACCAAATTGTAAATGATTAACTATATAAATCATTGATAGATCTCTATCATATATAGTTTTGACAACAATATATGGTTTCCAAAATAAATGATAAAGGATGAATAGCAACAAATGCAAAAGCAGTTACAATAGTTAAAAATTTTTCCGATACGATATTGAACCTCATCTCACAAAATAGCTTGTTTTGATTAGCACTGATCTCTATTGGCACAAATTTTCAATGATCGTCACTCTTCTTCCACCTCCTGCTTCTGAATATCCACATGTAAATGATTATGCAGCAGCTCTTCACCAATAGGAGCACAACAAATCCCTCATCTTAACCAGCACCTTCTCCACATTTGCTCTCCTTAATCACTTCTTGATTGGCAGTAGTACTGTACAGACGTGATTGTTTTTGTTCACAAATTTATCAACATTTTTCTTTGTACTACAGACTTGGTTTTCCTTTAACATTTCTTTAATTTTTCACATTTTTAAATTGTGCAAGGTTGTTTCATCCAATTATTCTTTCTTTTTCATACCTTTTTTTTGAAATTGTCAGTATGCACTTGCAGTTCAAGTTGTTATAATTACCACAGCTGTTACTGCTGCTGCGTGTGTACTAACCACTACCATCAGGTTGCATACTCAATTATTGGCTGAGGATGTGAAGGGAATAATTTGATGAGAAATGTCCATGTTCATACAATGTTCATCATCACACAAGGAATATCCAGCTATGCCTGCTCCTGGGGTGTTTGACAGGAGGATGAGAATTTGGATAGGCTATTCCTTTTCCCAACTATGCTTCCCAGTGACTAGAGATATTGGGGGATTTACCCAGACCTCCTTCACCCTTTGTGGAATTAATTGATCAGGGTTGAGCTGTCTTATCCATATCTCCTGTTTTCTATGATTCTCAACCTGCCCTCTTTGGAGAAGAATATAGGGGCCAATATTTAGTTTCCCCTCCATCACCTGATGTTGGGATTCATGCCCAGTGTTTTTGGGATTCAACTTTGGTTGGGAGTTAGTATGGCTCGTCTGCCTCATACATCTGATGATTGTCTTTATGCATTTCCTTCCCTTATTTTGATTCCCAACATTTGGAATCTCATTCCACTGTGGGGTTCAAACCCTAATGCATTAATGAATTTATCATAACGTCAACTTTCCCATATTAGACTGATATTGTCCACAATTCTGTGTGCATTATCGACCATGCACTTGCTGGCTCTGGCAATTCACTTATTCACTTCTTTCCTCTCTTCCCCTGTCTTTTCATCCCATTGCTTTCCCCACCACCAAAGGATTCTGTTTCTTGCCTATGTCTACAGGAGGCAGTTCAGGACTTACTTTGAAAAGAAGCCATAGAACTTGTGGAACCTTCTCAGCTGGGGTTTTTACTCCCGTCTGTTCATCGTACCCGCAAAAAAATATGGGAGATTGGCGACCAGTTATAGATTTATCATCCCGAAACCGTTTCATGGTCATATCAAAATTCATGATGGAGTCTTACTTAACCCTTCAGTAGGCTTTCACTCCTGGGTTGTGGATGATGAAGGTTGATGTGTCGGATGCCTGTCTATACATTCCCATCTCCTGGGCAGACTGCCATTTCCTCTGTTTTATTCATCAGGGACATGTTTATCAGTTTGAGGTTTTTCAAATAGTCTGGCCTTGGCTCCTTCTGCTTTCTTCCAAGCGGCTAGATCATTTGCTTGACTGCTTCATGCCAGAAGCCTTTATTTCCACTATTACATGGACATCTGGCTACTTTTTGCTTCTTCTCAGTTTGAATTTGGAGGTGGAGAAGACTTTTTTTCATACCCATACAATACCTGATTGATCTGGGTGTGTTTTTCAATTCCCTCATTGGACTCTCCCTCTCCTACTACATGAGGAACCCTATCTCTTTTGGTGACAAGGGCTTCTCTTGAAGCTCTCATTCCCCGTGGTTTCACCCACATGCATCATCTTCAGTAGGTGATACTTGACCAATGGAACCTCATTTGGGAATCCTTAAATGATCCTATTACCCTGCCTCTCCACCTACAGGCTGACTTCACTTGATGGTTGGATCAGACCAATACTGCCATTGGAGTTCCTTTTCCACCTCCTCAACTAGATTATCTTTATTATGAATGTTTCCCTTTCGGGTTGGGTGCATATCTCAATGCTCAAGAGGTTTCAGGTCATTGTACACTGGCTGAATCGTCCCTACATATCAACATATTGGAGTTGCTGGGGGTCAATTGTGCCTTGCTTCTCTTCTTCTCTGATGTTTAGGGGCT